GAGACACTACTTTATAAATTTTACCAAATTTTGAGAATTTTGAACTGAAAGGAGAAAATTAATGTAAATAAATTTAACAATCTTGCCATGAACACTAGGGAATTGTATCTGCAAGAGTACTCGTGGTATAATATGCCTCTGACTATCCATAAAATACTGGTTCACGGTTATGAAGTCATCTCTCAATTCAAAATACCAATTAGTGAAATGTCAGAAGAGTGCCTAGATGCTCGACATAAAGAAATTAGAAAAGAAAGATTGGCACACACTCGAAAAAAGTCGCGAACGGAATCAAACATTGATTTGATGAATCGTTTGATCATAACATCAGATCCTTTACTAGCTTTCCACAGAAAAATAATCTCCAAAAAAGGAAAAAATATGGCTGATGACAGTAGCATTAAAGAGTATTTCGTGTTAACTGACGAAGTAGAGCCTTTGACAGCGTATAATATCACAACTCCTCTTGAAGTTAGCGATGACAGTGAAAGTGATTCAGGGGCAGAATAGACATGGAACATTTTTTTTTGTTTATATTATGTAAATATTTCTGGATCCTAAGTAAACTTTTACATCTCTTTCTCTGTCAACATTTCTAATATAAAGTATAATTTATAATATTTTATGGTTTTATATACATGCACGTTTACATGCACTATTTTTTTACTAACCTTACATTGTAAAATAAATATTTGTGGATGTAAATGTAGACTAATGTCGGACAATTTTATGGTAAATAAATCATATGATACTACTGATTTTTTTGGAGTTCTGATTTTTGTCCATTTGCCCCATAAGATCGCTGCACTGTGCGACGCATGTTTTGTCACAGCGGGCAGCGGCCTTATGTGTGTGACCTATGACATTCTATCTCGCACACTTTACATAACAAGACATAACTGTTTCTTTTTACGTCCACTAATACACTACACTAAACAGAAAATAACGGATAAATAAAAAATGTCTTTATACTGGCTGCACATACAACAGACCTCTAGCTTAAATGTTCTCGAATTGAACAAAGTTCAATTGAACTGGTGTGAGGATGGGGTAGTTGTATGTCAAAAATAGCATCTCTGTCATTAAACGTGTCCAAATTACAATTTTTTATCAAAACCAATAAAATACGCATATAGGCATATAACAAATGTCTTCTGATTCACCCGGTATCATTATGAACATTGTTCTGCGTTTCTGATTCATGTAGTATAGTTACAGAGCCAAATCACTAACTGAGTTCTGAACTATTGTACACCATTCCAACAACAAGATTTTGCATATTTTATCATATTTTTTATTGTTATTTAAACGAAATTGGTTCACCTCAATTTGCAAATTAATACAGCGGGTGGCCGAACAGAACATACTTTGTGTTTTTCTTTGCCAAATTTTTGTTTCTCTGCCGATTTTAACGAACTTGGTGCTAATAGTTAGCTGATTATATATGCTACAAAGATCGGTCAAAATATTAAAATTCAAGATAGCGGACGAAAATAAAATGGGCCTTTCTGTTAGCTCGTTTTTTTTAAATTGAAAGTTGTAAAATTGACAGAATTAATAACAAATTTCGAGAGAATGAATTTCCCTCTACATTTTAAATCTACGATTAGTTAAATTGCTTCATTGTTTTTGGAGAAATTATTCAGAAAAGGCCTACTTGTCATTTTTAAAATCTTGAACAGAAAAACAAACTTTATTCTTTTGCCTGCCATTTATTTATTGCTCAACTCATTTTAATAAATTTTATCTTGTTACGTAAGCAATAGAATTTATTCTAGGAAATTGCAAACATATTACCGAAATGTCAAATACATGACCCATTTTCTAATAGTAATTCTGTTGCTGATATAATACAATATCTTAAATAATAATGACAATCAACAATAGGAGCTAGAGAATAATTAATAAAAAGTAACACGACAATTTGGTAGAGAATATTTCACCAGAAATCCATAATTAGCTGGTAGACACTAATGAAATGATATTCGCCATGTAAATCAAAATAATATTATTAAATCACTAAAAAAAAATCAATAGTTTCAAACAATGAAGATTCAAATTAATGAGTAATGAAGGCTAGCACATCCCTTGAATTTGATCTCCTAGTATAGCCACAATTGCCGTAACTTCTCCAGCTGTGTATAGCCGGCGCTATTGAAATTTGAGGCAGTTTTTCCCAATATGATGTACTAGACTTCTTTACCTACTTACTAATTGAACCTTTAGCACTTGAAAATATTGATTTTTTTTAATGATTCAGTAATATTACATTTGTTTACAGGATAAATTTCATTAGGGCGTACCATCTAATTATGGATTTCTGATCAAATATCCTCTACAATCTCGTCGTGTTATTTACCTAGATAAGATTTTTTTATAAATTATTTTCCTAGTTCGTGTTGTTGATATTTAAGGTGTTGTAGTAGTATAAGCAATACAAGTACTAGTAAAAGATGAATATTATGTTTTGACTTTTCGATAATTTGACCGCATTTTGTTAGGGCCGATTCTATTGCTTGTATAACAAAAACAAGTTTATTGAAATCGGTTAAGAAATAAAGAATAGGCAGGCACATCAAAGTTTGTTTTTTATTCCAGATTTTAAAAATGGTAAAGTGGCCTTTTTTTGAATTCGTTATATCTACAAAACCAATAAACTTATATAACTCAATCAGTCTTAAAAGTAGAAGGATGTCATGGTTTCGAAATCTATATTAGCCAAAAGTAAAGTCTATTTTCAGTTGCATCCGTCATCTTGAATTTTGGTATTGGCTATCTTGACATTTAGTCTTTTTGGCCTATTCAATCAGCTAACTATTGACACCCAATTCGTTAAAATTGGCTAGAAACAATAAGCTGCCAAAGAAAAATATAAAACACGCTTATTTGGCCCAACCAGTATATGATCTAAACAATGGGAATAGACCATTATTTTTGCTCATAAAAATAATTAGCTGGTTACAGGAATTATCAGTTAAAATGTTAATTAAAACCAGAAGAGGTAAATGGAGGATTAAATATTTATTCTTTCAAGTGTATTTATGGTACAAATTCCTAGTACTAAGTGCATATTAAAATAATCTCAGATCTCACGAATGTTTACTCACGTACACATATTCACTTCCAACAAGGGGAATTTAAAAAAGTATAAATTTTCTCTCTATTATAACCATTTTTTCGCTTACTGAACACACTAGCTTATAACATTAAACTGAAGTTTATTGATTTAAGATTTAATTCGATGTTTGTGAAAATAAACACTGGAGATTTGTTTAAATTAAGTGAAATAAAACAAAAACTAATGTTATTAAAAGTTTAGATGGCACAGTTTGCTGAAGGGCTTCGCGCAAAAACTTCCACAACTTTGTTCTTATTGTTGGAATCTGTAAAACTTTGGGGTCTGAAATTGATCATGGAACGAAGTTGTAAATGAGCAAATGCTGTCAAATACAGTGAAAACGTATGTTACTTGGTAAAGTTTCATCTTTTTTAAATTAATCTGAATGTATTGTTTAATTGCAATTTGGCTACTCAGTTTTCACTTAATATCAGTTCTATTACAAAAAATATACTGTAATTTTAGCAAAATTTTTAATGAAATATGAAGAACGGTTGTTGTGGCATCTATATAATTATACTAAAAATGAAATACTGGTCTAAAAATATATTCTTATTTTTTGGATGATAGTGACATTCAATAATTAATTTGAAGTTTTAATTATTTATTTTATAATTAATTTCACATTTTTAATAAAATTAGTTTAGCCAATTATACAAAATAATTCTTTAAGCTTTTAACTCAGACAGTGTCTGAGAAATCCATCAAAATTCTTATAACGTAAGATATGGAAAATTTTTAAATGTATTTTTATTGTTTTTTACCCACTTAATATTCATGTTAAAGTGTGGAATGGTGTATATTAAATGAAGCAAAAATTAAAAAAAAGTACATAAAGATGTCGAATTAAAAAAATTCCAAGAATGCTCTTTTAATTATTATGGATTTATAGTTTTTAAAAGGGTAGACTTAATTAGACGTTTTTAAAGAAAAATAGTGACAAATTATATACTAATTTACTATAAATAAACTTCAATCCAAGCATAATGAAAACAGTGAATCTAAAGCAGGAAATAATTTATAACGTAGAGCTCGGAATTTAGGTATTGATGACATCAAAACCAGGACTGGCTGTAGGTCATGTATCAGCGCGTAAATATGTTCATGCATGTATAAGCCTTGTAATTTTTTTAGCGAATTCCGTAATATCGAAAGTTGATAAAGGCAATTTATTATAAACACTCACTCAAGGGGAACTGGAGGTATTCTACCTATAAACAAAAATTTAGAAACCAGAAGGGCATTAGGTACGTGGTTGAAACTCCTAAAGCTAGATTAATAAACACGAAACCAATCAAATGCTTTTACAGCAGCAGAGGCTTAACTAGCAATTACAACGCCTGTTGCCAGCCAACAAAAATTTATTCGATCATTTAAAGAATTTTTTTCAAATCTTTTTTGTCTCACTGGGAAATTTTTCAAAAATTAAACTTTAATATCGATGGTTTTACTTCTTTCAAATTTTTATTAAAAACAGCTTGTCGTCAGCAAAAAGCAAGAGACAACTTTTATGTAGATTATACCGAGTATTCTACAAACACATTCAAATTTTAAGGAATTTGAGGCTTTCGATTTTTTCTTTAACGAAAGTTGAACTTCAATATCTATACGTGCACCACTGGCGCCGCAAAAAGTTAAGTTAATCAAACGTTGTCTCCTAAAACATTAAAAAATGTAAAATAGGTCATTTAGGACATATTTATATGAACTTTTTATCTTAGGATAAGCCCAGAAATCACTCACTAAAATCAGGTAATACAGTTTCCTGTAAGATACTTCGAGATATTTTATGCGGGAGGGGGTTGAACATTTAGAAACAACGGACATACAACCAATATCCGATTATGCTACGATTAATTTCGGCCTTAGAAAAAAAATCTCAAATTCTCGACCGGGAATCGAACCCGAGATGTCAGGTTAAGAAGCAAATATCTTTGCCACTCGACCACGAAGCTGCTCATACTTAGGAGCACTATATCTTAAAATATAATTAACAAATTACTACTGCCATGTGAGAGTATAATATGGTGCGCTTTATTTAAATAATATGGACTGTATTATTCCAATAATATAACTATTACGAATGCTAGACGAGATTGACAAAAACGCAGAAAAGACTCCACTTAGTCAAAGAATATCCCCACGTAGCCAAGACTCCTCGGGTCTGACATTAGAACGTAAAAATCCCAGGCTCTTATCATCTTAGAGCTCTATTAAAACAGCAACTTATAAGACAACTCAGAGAATCACTCTGGTAATTACTTTATTGTAATCAGTTGACCGGCAAATTAGACAAGAGAAAAAATTCGACATTCTAATATAGATGAATATATTTTAAAAACTAAAAACAAATGAATAGTCACGAAATACTGTTAAAGATTAGTCTAACATTTATTACGACTTACCTATTTTAGTTGAGTGTATAGTATATTTGATGAAGGGTCAGGACTAACTTACCTAAAACAAAGAGGTAAATAATTTAAATTTATTTTTGAAATAATTCGACATAATATGTGGATTTATTTAAACAAATCAAATTATATTTGAATTTAGAAATAATTATAAGAAAAACATTTTTCGTGTTAAGAAAATTGCTGTGTTCCATATAAAAAAAATAATTTACTGGAAAAGTGCTTCGCATTAATTCAAAACATAAGTAGTTTTTTATTTGTTTTACATCCTGAGCGTGGTGTTGATTTCTATTAATGCATACTCAGGTATATCTAGATCTCCGGAATAATAAACAAAACTGTAGATGAAAAACAAATAGACGTAGTAATAACATCTGAACCAAACATCAAGATAGTAACCAAAGGACCAATAATCACCAGCGATGCTTGTGATGTTGCTATAGGCAGGGCCGGATTTTGGATTTTTCCGCCCGTAGGCAGATTTGAATTTGACGCCCTTTTTCAGACAAAAATCTAAGTAGGTATTTAAATGTGTGTGTATATTGTATATATAAATTAATTGTATGTTTACTCCATAACTTTTATTGCTTTGAAACATATTTTTATACTCAAACTAAAAATAGATCCTAACAAAATAGATAAAATATTCAAATAATATCAAATAATGAATGTATTACAGTATTACACGTCTCGCTTTTACATCGGCAAATACATTAATAATATCATTATAGTCTAAGCCGATAGATACTTCAGACTCGATGCTCAACACCGCTAAATCATTGAGCCTTCTTTCATTCATGGTTGAACGAAGATAATTTTTGCATCTTCTTAGCCAAGAAAAGCTGCGCTCGCCTGAATAGTTTGAACATGGAGTGCACACACACATTCGAGGAGCTATATCTATATTTGGATATATCAGCTGAAAGCTTTCCCTTCGAAGCCATGTTAAAATCTTAAGGGGTGTATTGCGTTCTTCTGGAGATACCATGCAGTGCGAACGGAAATGCAAACATTCCTCTACAAACCCTTCTTCGATATCTATAGAATAGATATTTATGACATTTTTTGCTTTCTCTATTATTTCTACATTGCTTAACGTAGTTAACTGTGTTAGAAATGAAAATTTCTCGTTAAATAGATGGTACGAATTACGTCGCTTCTTCAATTCGCAGACAATTTGTCTATAATAACCAGAAAAGTACCAACTCTCACGGTCTCTCGACCCGTCATGTCCACTTCTCCTTCCGCCGACTCACCTGACATAAGTTTCCTTTTTTTCTTTCGTTTGTGATCTTTTTCGTAATTATTCATCTTTGACAGCTGCATTGCACGATCTTCGTACTCGTTAAAATTCTCCCATGTTTCAGAAAACATTGCTATTAGCGAATCATAGAGTTCAAGGACTGTCGAAATATCGATTTGAGTACTTTGCAGAAGGATGCTGGTGGCATTCAAACGTTTCAAAATAAAGTCCCACAGAACAGTCATAAAGGCAGTTTCCAAGTGTTCTAGCCTCAACCTAATAACTTTTGCTTCACATCGGACATTGGGCTTTTGATTTTTGTCGTTTTCTATGTATAGAAGCGTTCGTTGGATGTCATCCCACGATTCATATATGCTTCTACAGGCTTCCGATCGACTAGACCAACGAGTTGCCGACAATCCCTTAACGGTCAGAGCTTTCTCTTTGACTCCTTTCAACGTCTGGGTCAAAATCATCTCATCTTGGAGCAATTTCCAACGCAAAGTAGATGCAGTAAAAAACTTGAAAATTTCTTGAAGTAATCTAAAAAATAAGCAACCCTCTTCACAGGCCTCAGCGGCAGATTCGGCGACCAAATTTATGGAATGGGCACTACAAGGTATGTATTCTGCAAGAGGAGAAAGGAATTTGACGCGAGCCTACAGACCGTTATAAGCGCCCGACATGTTGGCTGCATTGTCGTACGACTGGCCTCTGCAATTTGTTATGTCGATTCCATACTTATCGAAGGTAGTAGTTAAAGCTTTTTCATATCTTCGCCAGAATGACCAGTGTTTTCAATAAATTGAATAAACCGGTCAACTGGAAATCCATCATTCTGCACATATCGTACCATAAACGTCAATTGATCACTGTGAGAAATATCGGGAGTCGAATCTACAATTATGGAAAAATATTTGGCAGCTTTCATTTTAGATAAAATAATGTGGACAACCTTTGCTGCCATAAGAGAAATTAACTCTTCATAAATTGTTGAGGAAGGATAGCTAATGTGACCGCTGCCTGGATTACCATAACGGGACATATGACTTGCTAAGAAAGGATCAAATTGTGCAATTAATTCCAATGACATAAAAAAATTTCCATTATGTAGTGATCCTATATTTTCATCATCACCCCGGAGGGCTACACCACGTGTTGCAAGAGATATGATCGTTGCCACAATTCGTTCAAGTGGTTTTCTCCAATAAACAACTTCCTTCTCTCTTTAGGCTACTATTTTTTGATCAATTCGACCTTTGATATTTCCCCATTTTTCCAATCACTGAAGCCTTCCGTCTCTCCGAATTGAGATCCCCCACCGAACGCACGACATGGACCACAAAATACTACCCCTTTAGATTTTGAATAGACGAGCCAAGGTCGTGTACATCTCTCTCCATTTCGAAGTTGTCGATCAAATAATGATTTGGACAAGCATCTTGTCGAATCACCTTCATAAACACGCCTACTACCGGAAAAGTCAACGTCCATATTTTATTTGATGCCATTAATGGCAATAAAGTCTCGTGTGGAGTTGTTAATTGTCCATTCCGCTGGATTGTCACTTATCACAAATTCCTCGAGAAATTCAGTGGTATTCTTTGTACTCGTCGATCCAGATGCAATCGAAGGTATTATACTACTTCCGGGATCACAGATGATATCAGGATATGAAGAATTTTCTGAAATATTCTCGACGGGATTTTCGACGATAATTTCGAGAGGATTCGTTTTATTAATTTTAGGAAAAAAAATTATCTAATTTCCCTATTTTACTAACTAAATCCTCTTGTCTCTCTTGTTTATCTTTTGCTAATTTTTTATATTCAGCACCGCTTAATCTCTTTCGTTTCGACATCACACTCATTTTTTATAGGTTAGGCCGTTTAGGGACAACACCTAAAATATTAATAATGAGGGTGTAACGTACAAGTATAATTACCTATATTTTTCTACTCACCGCAATAATAAATGCACAGTCTCACAATTATTATTAATACTATAATAATTACTAAATAAATGAATTCTAATCTCCTATAGAATAGTTAAAGACATTAGACGTTAAAATCACAGAACAGAAAAAGGTTAAAATACAACGTACAACTATAGTATAGCTGGTTGACAGCCTCATCGGTGAATCACCAAGTAGTGTACATGATGATATATGTATGATCACCAAATCCCGACTCAAAAGTAGTTACGCGAGAGACGGTCCTCCACACAGAACACAGATAAATATAGTGTTTTGAATCGAGAATCTTGTTATGATTCATATAAGCAAATAAATGTATTATTTATAGGAAACAAATAATTTCGCGTAAGAAATGAAAAGTATGACATAAAACTAATAAAGTAATAAATAAATAATTTATATATTATTAGAAACTTGTAGAAGTAATTTTTTTGGTATTGTTGGACAAGTAGATGTATATTTAGGTGTTTATCGAAATTGGTGGATAAAAACACCAGACTTCGACCGCACATTATATACCTGCATTACCTGCACATCTGCAGCATCGGCCTGATTGTTCCACCGAAAACAAAAAACTTGGCACTTGACCGGCATACGCTACTTCAACTTTTTGTATCAATTAAAAAAGGAGACAGAGACGCATTTAATTCACATGAGCCCTTTTAAGGGTAGAAAAGTATACTATATGCTACAATAATTTGTAGTGAATAATAATTACTACTTTTCTTTAAAAATCATAAAATGGATAATAATTATTATTTTGTTATTTCTCTTTAAAAGTCATAAAATCTTTTGGCGGCATGCCGCCCCAAAGAATTTGCCGCCCTAGGCAGCTGCCTATATTGCCTATTGGGAAATCAGGCACTGGCTATAGGAAACTATAATAGAGCCACGATACATACACTGTATCGTGTAACAGTACCAACAAAGTATACTAGAGCGGCAAAAAGAAGGGACACGTAATGTCTGGTCGGGGAAAGTAGACCCGCGGAAAGAATGTAATTTCTGCCTGCCATTTACAATTAAGTGTAAATGAAATAAATGAATTAGTGCATGGCAAACTTTTGTGATCGTTTGCGTCCGCACCTAGTCATTGGGAGGGATATTATAATCCTAGTATATGGCTCGCAGAAAACAAGCGACTTATGGGCACCCGCCTTCTTTCATCAGCTAGATAGTATGTATCAAGACAAAAAGAGTAATAGGGTATAGGTATTATTGTTCCAAACACATCGAAAATAGTGAATTCGAGGAAATATTAAGATACTCATGGGTAGAGTTGGCAAAAATGCGCCACAGAACATAGGCGTACACATCATAATAAG